CATGGGAATAACACACTCGGCGTGCGAGAGATAGTTTTTAGTACAGATAAACAAAAGAGGTGTACAATATAACAATTATTGTTAGAATTAAGTACAATAATAAATGTTCATATTTCAGCAATTGTGTTTTCTTCGCAAAAGTATACCACTACATTAGCCTCCCCCCTTAGAAATGGTTTACACTTTAGATACGTCACGGTTTTGTGAGGAGGGGGGACTGGTCGGCTAACGGGCGATTGTAGAACGGAAGGGTTGACGAACAGGAATGGACCAATGAAGCTCGAGTTGTCGACGAAATTCTTTTACGTTAAACTGTACCATTAGTAACGTGCCAAGTTCAGTGCTCGGGTTGGCATGCCACATTAGCGTGGCTCGTATCCAGAGCCTGAACATTGCGTTCATAGGGATTCAGACCAGAAAAAGCTGCAGACGCAGGACGGAACCAGATTGAGCGAAGGAGCCAGAAACGATCAGAACAACCAAGTTCAAAACCATACGTATACAAGAACATTCAAATCCAAAACATCGAGTGAGTGCATTGACAAGAGCGTGGGTGGTCAGGGCAGCTTTCACCAAGATTGAATGAAGTCGACGGTACCAACCGGGTGATGGTCGTAGGCATAGGCTCAGGATACAAAATGAAAGAAAAAGAGAAAAGTGTAGCATACATGTAGTACGAGGATAGTGTACTATCGCGTATCGGTTGTTGCCTGGGTGGTTATTCGAGAAAACGCACAGATAGGCGTACGCGGCGACTGGAACGCGAGACAGTAGTCTCTTGAGCCAGCCATCTCATCCGAAGTCAAGGGCGACGTGGTCTGCTGATCTAGACGTGAGACCGGAGTCTCATCAGTAGATAGTGCAGATGGCGTGTGCTGTTGACTGGTACTTGAGAATAAGGTTTCTGATGCATCTAGCGTGAGATCCGAAGTAGCTTTAAGGTTCCCGCTAGTAGGTTTGATAGGTCCTGCATTGAGTCTCGGATTAGCAAGTGGGGCACTTTCGTAGGTGTGTGCTGGCTTGAGGCGATCATTGCTGACTACCTCGACGTGGCCAAGCCGAGCAACCTTGAAGGTCTTTTCATGACGAGGAATCACGTGAAACGGTCCTTCGTAAGGCTGTTGCAAAGGTTTGCATACCGAATCGACTCGTATGAAAACACGCGAAGAGGCAGATAACTCTCGAGGGAGAGCGACCTGTCGGTGTCGTACTCGAGTTGACATCGGAGGCAGTGCTCGCATAAATTCAGATAGTCGTTGGACGTAGTCTGATTAATTGAAGTTGTCACTGCTTCATGGTGCGGAAAATTCCCCAGGCCGACTCATTGTCGTGCCGTATACCAATTCAGCGGCGGAACATTGAATATCTACCTCTAAGCCCGTTCTGATACCTAAGAGGACAAGCGGTAAAGTTTTGTACCAACTGTTGTTTTCGTGTGCTTGAAGAGCACTTTGAAGTTGGCGACGAAACTGTTCAAATAATAATACATTCGAAGATGAGTGGTAGGTGATAGTGCTTATGCACTCCTTACCAAGCAGTCGTGTTTGCGAGGAGAATAATTCGGACTCGAACTGTCGTTCTCGGTCAGTTGTGACAGTCGAGGGACAACCGTAAAGCGCTATCCATCGTTCTACGAAGTGGTGAGCAACTGTTTCCGCCGTAATAGAAGTGATGGGAATGGCTTCGGGCCATCTTGTGAAACCGTCGATGCACGTGAGTATATGATCATACCCATGCAATGGTGGCAATGGTCCTACAATCTCAAAATGAACATGGTCGAAGCGAGCATCAGGCGTAGTAAACGTGCTGATAGGGTCGGCTACGTGCCTGTGCACCTTTGATCGTTGACATTGTAAGCATTGCTTTACCCATATACGGACATCTTTATTCATGGACGGCCAGACGTATAGTGGAGCGATGAGACGTAATGTAGCTGCGGTACGTGGATGAGACAATCGATGCGAGGCATCGAAGACGAGACGACGATGAGCAGAATGTACAATGGGTCGGAGTAAGCCAGTAGAGTTGTCACACAGGATAGTAGCTGAGGTAGTAGCTAATGGTACTTCCTGGAACTGAAGGGATGTCGATTGTTGTGCTTCTGTACAGGAGGGATCATTTTCTTGGGCAGCGGCAGTAGCAAGAAGATTGAGCACTGGTAAAGTAACTGCATTTACTTGAATAAGTGAGAGGGCGTCAGCAACATAGTTTGACTCGCCTTTAATATGAAGAAGGTCTGTCGTGAACTGAGTAGCGGTCAGACTTGGTATGCAAAGCATAGGTTAGGGGCAAATGGTCGGTGAAAAGGATAAGATTACGACTTTCTGCTGTATGCCGGAAATGTTTGATGGCACAGTAGGCTGCTAGCAGCTCGCCACCAAAAACGCTACATCTCGTCTCAGTGGGAGTAAGGCGTCGTGAGAAAAATTCGAGAGGTTGCCAACTTCCTGAGATGTTTTGTTGCGTAACGACTCTTATAGTGAAACTTGATGCATCAACCGCTATACTAAGCGTGGCTTGAGCTAACGCTCTTTTAATCTCAGAAAATGCAGTACACGTGGCATCGCTTAGTTCTAGTGTGCGTGGATTACCACGAAGTAAGTCGGTTACTGGTCGTAACTGCTCTGCCGCGTGAAGAACGAAACGTTGGTAGAAGTTAACCAAACCGAGAAAAGCCTTCAATTCTTTGAGTGAACACGGTACAATGTACTCCATGATTGTACGTGCTTTATCTTCACAAGGTAGAATAACCTCATGCTTAATGATGTGACCCGAGAACTTTATTTCTGCCTTGCCCAGTTCATACTTGTCTGGGTTGACTACTATTCCATTATCCATAAGGTGTTGGATTAAGAGCATAAGATGTTGACAATGCTCATCTACGTTTGATGATGAGATTAGCAGATCATCGATATGGACGTGAACAAAAGCAAAGTCTCGTACTATGCTATCGACAAACCTTCGGAAAGTTTGAGCAGCGTTTCGTAATCCAAAAGGCATTCGTAGGAACTCAAAAAGACCGAAAGGAGTCGTGATAGCAGTTTTATCGATATCTTCAAGGATGACTGGGATTTGATGATGTGATCGTACCAGATTAATCTTAGAATAAATAGTCGTTCCCTTGGATGATGCCGTGTATGTGGGGGATAGGATAGCTACCAGAACGCGTTACTACGTCTAATATTTGGTAGTTGCCACATGGTCGCCTACTTATTCCATCCTTTTAGCGATTCATGTGGAGTGGTGAGGCCCAGGGACTGTGAGATGGACGAATAATACCTGTGGCTAGTAAATTGTCAAACTAATGTTTAGCGAAAGCTAATTTGTCCGGTGCCAGTCGGCGAGGTAGTGCCTTGACTGGTGATCCGCGGGTGACGATGTGGCGTACCACAAGATGAGTCACCGATAGACTCTACTCGAGTGGTTTAGTTAGCTGGGGAAGCTTTTTGAGTAAAGCGTGAAAAATTTCATCACGCGAATGAAACACCCCTGTGATTCGGCACGCAACTGTTTGAGCTCAAAAGCCAAAAAATTAGCTGTTCGACGAAGTATCGATTAGCTGCAGTCTACGTGAATCAACTAGCAATTCATAGTTCTGTAGGAAATCGATACCGAGTATGGCTGTGGGAACGTCAGCAATGATGAACGTCCACAGATACTGTCGTCGGTTGCTCAGGTTGACCTCCAGATGTCGTGTACCATAGGTAGGAATGACAGAGCCATTCGCAGCGCGTAGACGAGGCATCATAAATGGAGACTTGCCGCTACCAAGTGGTACGACAGAAACTTGGGCACCTGTGTCAACGAGGTACCTAGTGTTAGTGCGAATACTGTGCACGTAAAATAGGCGGCCAACCTGGGGTGAGGGGCCGACGAGTACGGCCGCATTTACTCGTTGGTTTTGAAGTTTCCCGCCTTGTATGAGCAGGGGGCTCGACAATGACGGGCGCCAGACCTAAGCGTCTGGTGGAACCAACACCAGCCGGTAATCTTCCGAAGCCGCCTTTTGGCGTCGCTTGGAAGATGCCCGATGAGGGCGAGTACTTGTAGCCTTTTTTGACCGAGGGCGGGCTCGTGGGATATGGGGTTCAGGAACAGTGGAACGATTTTGAAAACTGAAACGGCTGTGGATATAGCAGCCTTTATCACTTTGAGCCTGAACATGATCAGCATCGAGATTCACGTTGGTACATGACGTGAAGGCAACCGTATAGTTGTCTTGATAGTTAGTCTGCGCTATAACTTTGTCTGCAACAAGGGCAGCCTGGCTAAATGGCATATCCTCGGGCAGAGCGGCGATCGTAGGCTGAGCATGGGCCGATGGTCCTGCCAATGACTGCAGGCGCATGAGGTGGTGGATAGGTTTAGCATCACCCATGGGGTGAGGTGCTAAAAGTGTCCGCAATCGTTCCTCCCTCGATGGTAGGAAATGTCGAAGAATCATCTGCTTGAGACAATCGCAGACGTCTGGTACACCAGAATTGAGAACAACCTCAGGGACGGCGGTTCTATGATCCCCAGGTAGATATTCCATGGCGTAGGCGTACATTTGCCGCTGGTCCGTAGTGGGGTGGATCTCAAACTGAGCTTCCAGGGGCGCGGACCAGATAACTTGATCGTGGGGGATAAAAGCTACGGGTCGAAAATTTAGAACCTGTATCTGGGAGTCTGCTAAAATATAGTCATTTTTAAGTTTATCTACCATTTTCGAACGCTGCTGCAGTTGTAATATATATATATGTATATATATATATATATATATATTCAGCTGATGATTGTTTATTTTTTTCTGAAATTTTAAGACACTACAAGTGTGAATTTTAATTAATCTATGACAGAAATTTATTCTATCAGTGTTTAGCTTGAAAAACAGCCTTCGTAACTGCAACAACTGTCTTTATTATTACCAGCTTTAGTCTGATTCGAAAATGAAAACATTCAGTAACTGAACGTTATATATATATATATACATCATGAAGACAGAAGAATACTACTCTCTTATGTGTTATGATGGCATTGAACGATTTTTTAAGTGTCAATCCACTCAAACACTTGAAGAGGATTTATATATGCAGTCAGAAGTTGACTTAGATAGTAGATAAATAGCATTACAACAAAATTAATGAATAATTTAATTTAGTAGTTGATGTTACAAACGAAGTACCTGAACAAATAGATGCTAAAAATGATGAAAATATAGAAAGTCAAGAAGAAAATGAAAATCTCGATTTTGATAATATAAGTAGGTTTATTTATGTATTGATAAATTTAATTCTTTAGGAAAATCTGTATCATTTCGTAAAACTCCAGTGGAATTGATTGTACCGGCTAAATATGTGGATGATGAATATGGTGTCGAAAGTGAGTCACCAGAGTCAACTTCTGGTCAGGAAGAAGTAAGTCTGGCAAAAACTTCAGTAAAAAAAACTAATAAGTAATCAAGTGAATGCCTAAAGTTTGATATTCATCATTTGGTTGATTAGTTGAAAGAAATTTTCAGAAAATCTTGATCATTGGTTTACACTTGTTAGTACACATTAACAATTCATCCATAAAAAAAACTCTATCGATTTTATCAGAGTGATCTTCTACTATTAATAGTAACTTCATAGTGAATTTAAAAAAAATAAATTTGAAAAAAAGATTGATGTGTTATTGAATTCAATATAAAAATGGTTCATATTCTCCCGCTTATTGATATCTTGAGTAAATTTGAATTCAATCGCATGTTTGTTGCACAAGTGAGTGACTATCTGAACTCAAAAGCTAAGTAGATAATGCGGTTGTATTTGAAGCATACGGTACTAGGTTCGAGCTCCAGATAGAAATACCAACTCTTAGATGAAAGCACATCCAGCTGACAAGTCCTCAATAGGACGAAACACATGTCCTAGATTCCATCCACTACAAGCTACATCCTATCTATTCTATGAAAACTTGTGTCATAATGACTGTATTAAAAAATCCGCCTAATATGTTATATGGCAACCAAGGCTGATAAAATTTCAGTCAAAATACTAACAATGGGATAATCCAAATCATTTCAACCCGCTGCATAGCTGATACTATCTGGACTCAGTAAGTAAGTAGATAACTTGATGATATTTGAAGCAAAACGATACTGGGTTCGAGCTTTGGAGTGAACATTAACTCTGAGATGCAAGTATACCTAGCTGATGAGCCCCAAAATAGGACGAAATGTGCGTCCTGGATTTCACTACTAGCTACATTCTATCTATTCTGCGTAGATTCAAGTATCATGTTAAAATGTGTACAAGAATTTAAACATTTGATGTATCTTACTCTATATTATGATAAAAGTAAGAGTTTTGCTTAATAGTTTCAAACATTTTGAGTATTATACAAAGGTATTTTACATCATAGATTGTGTACAATAAAGTATGTTTTTTAAATTATTTGTTTTTGTATTTCCTTAATATCTCTCAATTTAGTATCCTACTCGAGAAGAATATACCAATCATGAATGGATAAGCAAACCAATATCGAAATGGATTGATTTTGCTTATGTTAATATACCAAATAATTTAGATAAGGTTGATAATCGTAATAATTGGAAAAATGTACAAGATGAACAAGATCTGAGTGATAAATTTGATTTTCCTTATGTATTACAAGTAAGTTAACTAATGAATGTTAATGAAATCAATCAATAATTGTTAGACCACTGTTATAAAAACCTGGAAGCACTTTAAAGCCGTCAAGTCCTGGTATGGGACTCATCAGCAGTGCGTACCCACGACTACTGCACCTCGCAGGGTTCAAACCCTGGTCCCTCAGTATTGGGCGCGACCGTTTCGCCTCTGGACCACTGAACTGGCCGGCATCCAACAGTGTTAATGTCTAACTCTAATCAATCTAGAAATTTTGAGCGACCTCACCCATTTGTTTTGGGTAGTTGCTGCCTAGACCTCGACAGGGTTGAACTCCACTGGTCACGTCTTCTTCGATTAGAGTTATGATTGATGATTTCAATGTGCAATAAACACTAATCTCCATAACTTTAATTGTAAAACTGATATGTCTAATCAGTGTAAGTTGTGATTGGCTAATGTATGCAAATAAATATTTCCTTATACATCATACTTGATGAGCATTGATGCTGTAATCTGCTTTTTGTTCGCTTTACTCACTATTAGATTATGTCATCATCATTAACATTTAGTTCATAACTGAGCAGTAATCTTACATGATGGTGTAATCAAAGGAAGTACTATTTTCTGCAATAGCTTTTTAGATTTGAAAACATTTAAACAATTGTGATATTTTCCTAAGGCTAATCTTGAAGATACTAGCAAAAATAATGAAGGCAAGCTAACCATTGTAAAGATTAAAACGATATCATAATCAAAACCAATAAGTTTACTGATGTCCTATATTTTTGCCTTAACGGAAGAAGTCCAGTGATAATCAAAGTGATAATCACTTTCTAGTAGTATGTTATCACATGTATCCAGTCGTTTTTGGAATGAGTTATTCGAGAAAGCAGAAACCAATTCCTCTCAGAGTAAATTTTAAAAGATTATTGGATGAGCAAAACTTTACTATAAAAGTGATACAGTTTGTTTTTGGCTTTCGACCTTATCCACTGAATTGACCTACTCAGATGAAAAACAGAAATATCTCAAACCTAAAATCACTTGATATTTCATGCAAAAGTGAAAAATTATCAATCACTTTCTTTTCATATTTTAAAGTCCTGGTATGGGACTCCTCAGCAGTGCGCATCCACGACTCCTGCACCCCTCAGGATTTGAACCCAGGACCTTCGGTAATGTAGGCGAAATCCTAACCATCGGACCACTGATCCGGTATCTAACGGTGTTAATGTCTAACTTTATCGATTCAAGCTTGCGTCCTGGGTTCGAATCCTGCGGGGTGCAGGAGTCGTGGTTGCGCACTGCCACTGATGAGTCCTATACCAGGACGAAACGGCCGTATTGCAGTGCTTCCAAGTTTCTTATGGTGGTCTAACATTTTGTCGATTCATGGTTTCAAAACAAAAATGTGTAACTTACCAATCTTCACAACCCCGTAATGCAAATTTTTTTATAGTATTCATTTATCTCATCGTGTCATCATGTGACGTTGTAATAATTTTTTGCTTTCTCCTCTTCCTTATCAAGGTAGTAAAAGATGTTTGTTGTAGAAATAATCTCGAAAGGATGAAATTATCTTCATTAGCTAAAACATATGCAAAACGAATTGCAATTGCAGATGGTAATAAAAATTGTAAATTTTGTGGTCGAATTCTATCATACTGTTTGACAAAATCCGTTTATGCATCAAATGAACCAGCATACTGTTGTTGTTGTGATCGATATCATCGTCTTTTTCGTTTAGCTGTAAATTATTCTGAAATGTTAAATAAACGTTATCGTCAGCAACGACGTAATTATAATAGACAAAAGTTGATTGATGTGAAAAATGATGAATTAGAAAGTCATTTGAATGAATCTAGTACAAACGGAGTGGAATCAGTGACGGATTTAGTGAGTAAGTTAATGAATGATTTTTATTTGTAAAAAAAAGTATTTAATAAATTATTAATGATATTACTTACTTACTTAGTTAAGCCTGTTACCCACAATGCAGTATAGGCCGCCCACCAGCAGCATTCTCCAACCTACTCTGTCCTGTGCTTCTCTTTCCAGTTCTGTCCAATTTTTGTTCATTCCTCTCATATCTTTCTCTATTTCTCGGCGTAATGTGTTCATTGGCCTTCCTATTTTCTTTTGTCCTTGAGGGTTCCATGTGAGCGTTTGTCTTGTAACGCAGTTTGGTGCTTTTCGTAGTGTGTCCTATCCACTTCCACCGCTTATTCCTGATTTCCTCCTCCACCGCAATCTGGTACGTTGTTGCTGATGATGCCTGGCCAACGAATCTGAAGCATTTGAGTAGACAACTGTTAATGAATACTTAGATCTTCTGGATGATGGCTTTCATATTTCTCCAAGTTTCCACTCCATACAGTAGAACTGTCTTGATATTTGTATTGAAATTCCTGATTTTGGTTTTGGTTGAAAGTTGTTTGGAGTTCCAGATATTTTTCAACTGTAGAAATGCAACCCTTACTTTGCCGATCCGCGCCGTGCACTCACAACTGCATCGGATCCACCTTGGTTGTCGATGATGCTGCTCAGATATGTAGAGGTGTTAATGTTCTCCAAAGAATCTCCATCAAGACTGATTTGGTTGGTGCATGTTGTATTTCATCGGAGAATTTCTCTTTTTCCTTTATGTATGTTTAGACCTGCTGCTGCAGAGGCTGCTGCTACACTGGTTGACTTCTCTTGCATTTGTTGTTGCGTGTGAGATAGGAGAGCCAGGTCATCTGCGAAGTCCAGATAGCCAATGCCCAACCCCCTCCTCCTTTATCCGGGCTTGGGATCGGCAGTAGCCCCAAAGGGTCTACAGCCAGAGTTATTAATTATATGTCAAGTTAGAAAAATAATGATTTTGTATAAATATAATATTGCAGAATTGTTATAATTCTCTCCTAATACAAACCAGCTATTCCTATTGCTTAGTTAGTATTCTTGGACACCAATCCACTGAACAAGTCCACAGATCAGAACATGGTTGAACAGGAAAGAGATTATATTCCAAATAGCCAAGTTAAATGGTAGTAAGAAGCCGAAGTGAAGGCGAATTAGGAACAGCTTTAGTATCTTTATAGTTTTGACATGAGAAGCTTCTAGAGTGTTCTCCAAGTGTTCTCCAACTAGCGCTGATTGTACGCGAATTAGCCAATCAGCCAATCAACCTATGTCCCGCTAACAAGAATATATATATATATCTATCTCATATTTAATTAGAAAAGAATTATTACAGGTGGTTTTTAATGCGCATATAATTAATGAACATGAAAGCAATTCAAAAATCAGTCGTAAAAATAGATTTTCACGCCTCATCTTCTCCATATGCCCGTTCCTATCTAACACGTACATTAAGAAGGATTTTTTTTCAATGTAGATATTTTCCCCATCCTTATTCTTCACTCCCTATTAAGCATTCCTTATTGTAAAATCATTTTTTTTCCTAAGAATATTTTCATTCTATCAGCCGAACAGTGGCATTTTTTTAATTTGTATAACATCTCAGACCAGTGTAGCAGCAGCCTCTGCAGCAATAGGTCTCAACGTATATAAAGGAAAAAGTAAAATTCTCCGATGCAACATAACATGCACCAACCAAATCAGTCTTGATGGAGATTCTTTGGAGGACATTAACACCTTTAGATATCTGAGCAGCATCATCGACAATCAAGGTGGATCCGATGCAGATGTGAGTGCGCGGCGCGGATCGGCAAAGTAAGGGTTGCATTTCTACAATTGAAAAATATCTGGAACTCCAAACAACTTTCCACCGAAACCAAAATCAGGAATTTCAATACAAATATCAAGACAGTTCTATTGTATGGAGCGGAAACTTGGAGAACTACTAAAGCCATCATCCAGAAGATACAAGTATTCACTAACAGTTTTCTACGCAAAATATTTCGGATTCGTTGGCCAGACACGATCAGCAAACAACGTACTGTGGGAGATAACAAACCAGATTGCAGTGGAGGAGTAAATCAGGAAGAAGTTGTGGAAGTGGATAGGACATACGCTACGAAAAGCACCTAACTGCGTCACAAGACAAGCCCTCACATGGAACCCTCAGGACAAAAGGAAAAGAGAAAGGCTAAGGAATAAATTACGCTGAGAAATATCGAAAGATATGAGAGGAATGAACAAAAACTGGACAGAACCGGAAAGGGAAGCCTAGGATAGAGTAGGTTGGATGAAACTGGTTGGCGGCCTATGCTCGATTGGGGGTAACAGGCTTAAGTAAGTAAGTAAGTAATAACATCTCAGATTTCCTTATGACATAATTACTAAATAATTAAGCGATTTCTCTATTTGGATCGTTTGTTTTAAAGGTTGTGAATACATTTTTTTTCTAAACAACTCCATCGATTTATTTGTAATCTTTGTTAAATAACGATTTTATCAAATACCATGAAAGACTTTCTATTAACCAGTACAACAGTAATAACATAATTAACTTGGGAATCAACTATATTTTTAAGTTCTGAAGATTGTTGAGTTTCGTTGAAATCATGAATTGATCATTGTTAATAAACCATTAGAAACCTGGAAGCACTGGACAGCCGTTTCTTCCTAGTATGAGACTCGTCAACAGTACGCATCCACAACCCTTACACGCAGGAATCTAACCCAGGACCTTCGGATCACTGAGCTGGGCGCCAACGAAGTTAATGTTTAACTTCTACTAATCCACAGTCTTGCTTAACCTGATCCATTGTATTCGGTGGTCACTGCTTCACATCCAACAGGGTTGAACTCCACCAGTCACTCCCGTGTGAGCAGGGGTTGTGAATGCGCTCTGCGGAGGAGTCCCATACTAGGACCAAACGGCTATGCAGTGCGTCAAGTTTTCTAATGATGGTGCTGTGGACGTGCACCGCGGATGAGTCCTATACGAGGACAAAATGGATATCCAGTGCTTCCAGGTTTTGTAGTGGTGGTCCAATATTGGTCGACTCTTGATTTCAATGCAACTCAACAATCTCCACAACCCTATAATTAAAATTACCATATGCTTGCTCACTAGTGACCTAGCTCCGTGAGCAAGTTCATCCAAGTCGTGACCAGTAGAGTCCAACCTTGTTGAACTTGTTGGAAGCAGTGCCTACCAAAGACAATGGATGAGGTTGAACTAGACTGTGTGAATTACCTTCGAACAAATGATAATGAATTTAGTCTACTTACCGATTTTGAACAACGAAACCTTATTTACCTCAGAATAGTGACATTTCTTCCTAATTAATATTGTGGTGCGCGCTACTTATAAGTAGTATATGACGCGAGTGTCAACATAATGTCTAGCAGCAGAAGATGGGGGAAGATCAAGAGAAAGGAAGAAGAGTGGGAACACAATGAAATTTGTATGAAATAGCATGAATAGTGAGTGAAATGTCAGACAATGGATTGATGATGATGATGATGAAGATTTGCAAATTAATCGTTTACGATATGGTTTTCCTATTTTACTGAGTAACTCTGTAATTTTCGATAAATACAATTCGGTTGCCCTCACCTGTGTTCTCCTACACTACAATAGTACATATTTTGATTTTTTTTTTAATGATCAGAATTTGTAACATAATCAATAATAATATAAATAACGGCTAATCTCACATATTTTTCATTCGGTCAAGTTAATAATTACATTATAAGTTTATTTGATAAATCATTCAGTCAACGTGCAAAACAATATAACCTAATATTATTGATTATTAACTTATAATCGATAAACTGTAGATAACTTCGATGCGACCAAAGTTCCAGATGTATTTCGTCTATTATATATACTTAATTATTAATTATAAGAAAATTCAATTCACTCTAATGAGAATGATTTCATAGTTTATGTTTGGAAAACCATATCGTAAATCGTTAATTTGTAAAATATCAGTTCATCATATCGAACTGGACTGTTCCTGTTGCAAACAACATCAATCCATTGTCACTATTCATGCGTTTCATACAAATTCCATTGTGTTCTTCCAACTCTTCCTTTCTTGATCTTCCCCCATCTTCTGCTGCCAGACATAACGTTGACGCTCACGTCATATACTACTTATAAGTAGCTCGCACCACACCAGCAATATAGTATCAGACATTAATTAACACAACTCAGCTCAAGAACACTTGATCAAGCTTAATTACTAATAATGTAATAAAATCGTACAAAGAGTAGGGAAAATATATGTAACATATAATATACTTGTTAAATTATCTATCACACTCACTGTCTAGGAAAATAACTAATCACTATTTCTTCTCTCGCTTACACAACACGAATCGAATACTGAGGTTGGAATAACTTAATTATTGCTACTTAAATATTACTTATTGAGTTCCGATTAAGCTGATTACCACATTGAGAGGTTAGAATCAGACAGATAGAGTCCATTTGTGAATGCGGGCAAATCAGAGATGCGAAGGTCATGGTGCATGTTATTATCAAAACAGATGACTGGTTATATAGCGTAGATAACTAGTCTTCATGTGGGAAATTCTTGTTTGACACTTAAGATTAAGGTTACAATTAAGATTAGGATTATAATGTAAATGTTTATGATTTAAAGTTAGGGTTAGTGGATAGGAGATTAGCCAATCAGCGCGTAGCAACGTAGTTATGCTTTAATTCCATCTGTCCCACTAACAGTCAGTTTTATTGATCAATCAGCTCCCAAATGCCCTGGTACGACAGAGAGTGGGGAGAATCCTGCTTCCCTCTCGAAATACTCTCAAATGGACACGTGCATATAACCACTGTCAGGGTAGTAGTCCCACTCATTGCCTTCCCATAACAGTGGTGTTCTTTCCGAAATTGAGAGAATAAAAAGCGAATATCCAGTACTTAAACCAGATTAGTGAGTACGAAGAATCCATCTGATGTGCTCAAGAAACCCTGATCCC